TCCATTTATACAGAGGATGAATTAGACCCAAGTGGACTCTATTTACTATCAGGTTGATTTCTGAAGCTAATTGGTCCCACAAGATGTTGTTCAGGGGTAATAATAAAAGTCAAAACACAAATGTACACCTCACTTTTAAGATGTATAAAAATATTACCTTGTGTCAGTCTGCAACTTAAAATCCCAGGTTTTTGGTTGAAATATAAGAAAATGGGGAAAAAAATTAAGAACTATGAATACTTTTTCAATTATTTACTTACTGTGGATGTGCATGTGTTGCTGCATCAGAGGTGACTGAGTGAAAATCCTTGGTCAGGATTCCTAGTTCCACATGCTAAACTGTTGCCTTATGACTCATGGTTTTGTATTTAAGGAGAATTTCTGACTCCAGCATCAAAGTGACGGTCAGTGAGAGTCTTGAGCAACATTCTGCGGAAGGTGAGTGCATTACCTATGATAGAAATAAGGTTTTGAGTAAAGTAGGAAGGCTTTAAATAATGTCAGTTCTGATGTAGCAAATCTATTTTGATATAGAAATCAAACATCATCACCTCACCATCAGTATCCATGTATTTTGAGTAAAAATAGATATGGAGAACTGTACTGGTGATTGTTTGCCAAGCCAAACATCCAATAAAAGTTCTGTACACAGGCAAAAGAAGGTTCGATGTCCAAATTTGTTGTTTGTTGTGGATGATTTATTTTCCCATTTCAGCCAGCAATTACAGAGTTCAAACTTTCTTTTGTTCTTTCTGCTACCTCTCTTACTCTAGTAAAAACCATAGGTCCCAAACCAAGGGCGTAAATCCCTTCTCATTATTGGATGGGACCATAAACAGGGAAATTTTTTAAGAGCAAATTTGGGGGGGGGGTTGGCAAAGTTACAGTAAAATGTAATGTAAAATGTGGTTTAATATTTTTTTTGTGTGTGTTCAAGCTACACCATCAAAAATGTCTAGCAAGTAGCGATGAATAACAAGTGTTTTTCTCAGTAAACAATCTGTTGAGACCCATAGAAGTCAAACTAAGATTCAAATGTTTAGATATGAGTTTGGTTCAGAGTCACTGATCTAATCTCTGCTACAACTTTACAAAAATGTAAGGCTCTGACTAATAAGTTTTAATAAGTAACTCCACTTAATAAAATTCCTCAGAAATATTAATTTATTGCTGTGGTTCTCAATACAACTTATGTGTTGTTTAGATTATAACTTAAGTTGCTTTAAACTTTTATTTTTTATTTATTTATTTATTTATTTATTTATTTATTTCATGTCCTGGATGGCTGAGAACCTATAAATATGTAGGAATTGAATATTTGGAAAGTATCATAACTTAAACTTAAAGGTCAGCAATCTGAACATTTCTAGAAAAATGTTCAGATTTTATTTTGTGGTTTTAAAGGCTCTATGTTGAAGAAGATAAGAAATAAAGGCATGCATACTTTATTTTTGTTTTACTGTCAGCTGCAGTAGTCCCTCTGCTCTCGGCTCCCGTACAGAGCTGTCAGCTAGTGGTAACGCTCAGCCACTCCAGTTTCAAATTCTTCTAATTAAAGTAAGAGTTAGAGAGCTAAATATAATTGAAATATTGGCTACTTTCAAAAGAAAGTAGCCAATACTTTCTGCTACATAGCTTTCATAATTCTATGAAAGCTATGTAGCAGTTTAGCTAGTTTTGATATCCAAGGCATAATGAGGCAGTTTATCATGTTCAGCCAAAGTAATGAAATAACAAACTGTGGACAGATTTTTATTGTCAATTGTCAATTCCTATCAAGCAGTGAAGGTAAATAAAACGTGTTACATGTCTTTTAGAACCATTGTTCTAACAATAGTGGAGGGGAGGACCTAAAAATTAATTCTTATGTTTTATCTTAGATGAATGGCAGATTTACTTTGTTCTTTGTTTCAATTGCCTTTTTCTATTGATATTGTTTAAATACAAGGGTTTCTTTCATGATTTCTTTGGGGGGGACAATTCTAGACTTTTCCAAATTTGGGGGGGGGAGGGGTCCGGACCCCCCTGACCTCTCCGGGTTTTACGCCTATGCCCCAAACCCAAATACCTGCTGGTCCTTTACCAGGACCCTACACTTATAGAAAGTGGACTGACCCACATTTCTTCCTGTCTTACTTAGAAAATAAATAAGAAAAATATTAAACAAAAAATGAATAAAATCAACATTTTAATATACTGCAAATAAACTGTAAGTAATACAAAAAATAGATATTTAAGAATAAACTAACAAAATTTAAATGGATAAAGAAATAAAGAATAAATGGCTCCAACACTCTGGCCCCTAATTGTGAATGCTGTCACAATTACTTTAAAAAAGAAAAGGAGCTATTCCCTCAAACATGTCCTGAATTCCTCAGGGTGAGGCTTCCAGTAGCAAAAGAAGTTTGGTCACAGGTCTTTCCAAAACACTGGTCCTTGTTTTGTAATCCTAAAACAAAGACCAGTTTGTTTTGCACAGTCTACAGCAGGATGCTGTAGACTGTGCAAAACAAACTGTGCCCTGCAGGCAATGGAGAAGTACAACATAGAGAAGGATATCGCTGCCTATGTTTAAAAGGAGTTTGACAAGAAGTACAATCCGACATGGCACTGCATCATTGGCAGGAACTTTGGCAGTTATGTGATGCACGAAACTAAACATTTGATTTACTTTTAAATGAAATGTTGAGATCTGTGGAGAACTCAACAAGCCTTTGGCATCCTGGTTTACACCCAAGACTTTGGTCATCATCCATGATCCCCTTGGAGCTGTAGAGTCTGCAATTAAGACATCTCCAGGAATAAGACATCTTTTCGTTCTTGTCCATTTTTGTCTTTCCTGCATCAGAGGAAAGTACTCAGAAAGTCAACTTTTCCAGAACAGCTCTACCATGTATTACACGTGTTTCCACCTTTTCCTGAGATAAGGATCTTTTTGGTTGAACAGTCCTGGTGGCAAAACTGGTTTGTTTTTCAGCAACAACAAATAGTTGGGAGTGAGTGCCTCAAGATCATCTGAGTCATCTGAAACCTTGGCAAAGGGTCTGTCGTTTAATATGGCTTCAACTTCACAAAAGATTGTTTGAAGTCCTTCATCATCCAAAACTTTTTCTTGAAGAACTGAGACTAAAATACTTCTCATGGAACGAATCAGACGCTCCCAAACTCCACCTTGGTGAGAGGCTGCAGGGATGTTTCATGTTCCATTTGATTCCATCCTGCACAAAAGCATTTTGAATTTTAGCATGGTTCAGTTCAGCCAAATTCTCCTCCAGCTCTCGATTTGCACCAACAAAATTTGTAGCATTATCAGATCTGATGGTGGAAACTGGGCCTCTTCTACAGATGAACCAGCGGACTGCATATATACAGGAATCTGTATCGAGGGTGTATGCAATTTCCAGATGTACTGCACGGATGGTGAAACAAGTGAACAGAACTCCATACCTTTTCAGGGGACTTTGTCCTCTTTTAACACTTACAGGATGAAAGTAATCCACTCCAACGTTTGGGAAAGGAGCTGTGGCTCTCTTTCTTCTGGTAGATCTGCCATCTTTTGTTCAACAAACTTTCCTCTGTTGCGTCTGCAAATAACACCATGAGAGATGATTTTTCTGTCAGCTGAATTAGCATTTACTATCCAGTATCTTTGTCTTAATCTTGAAAGCATATGAGCTCTTTCTTGCAGCAGTTTTTCGGTCAGACAGCAAGAGCTGCAGCTGTCAATTCCAACCTGGTGATTGTCGTTTGCTTCATAGGAGCAACTCTTGCTTTTTCTAGAATGAAGGCAACATGTGAGATGTTATTCTTTTCCAAATATGACACTGTTCCATAGCCATCTTGACTTGCGTCAAAGAAATGATGAAGTTGTGCTTTGTCTGGTTTTCTGATGCAGCTTGGTTTGATGCTACGGTCCACTTTAAAACTGGATATCAGCTGGAGATCCTCCAGCCAATCAAGCCACTTCCTAAAGAGAGAATGGGGAATAACTTCATCCCACTTCAAATTTTGTTGGCAAAGTTCTTGTAGCAACAGTTTAGCTGGCATATTGAAGGGACCCAGGATTCCCAAAGGATCACACAGTGAGCTAACCACAGACAAAATGCCTCTTCTGGTCTGTGGGCAGTCCTGCACAGATGCTCTGAACTTGAACTCGTCTGTTTCAGTGCTCCACTGTAAACCCAGTACTCTCTCAACTGGAAGTTGATTTGTGTCCAAATCCAGATTCTTAATTTAATTTGCTCTCCTTTCCTCTGGGATTGACATAAGCACTGTGTGACTGTTGCTGACCCATTTTGAAAGCATGAATCCTCCTTTAAAGCAGATATCTGTCAGCCTCTTCACCATGTGCACTGCATCTTCTTCTGTGGGAACAGATTTTAAACAGTCATACCACATAAAAGTTATTTTTCATTGCATCAACCGCTTCAGCTGGAAACTGTTGTGCGTTATCATCAGCAGTTCTTTGCAGAGCATAATTTGCGAAGCTGGGAGAAGACACTGCTCCAAACAAATGAACCAACATCCTGAACTCCTGTGCAGGTTTTGAAGTGTCACCATGATGCCACCACAGGAAATGGAGAAAGCTGACATGTTTTTCAGAGACATGAACTTAGTGAAACATGGAGTCAATGTCAGGCATTAGCGCAACAGGCTCTTTTTTAAATCTGATTAGAACTTCAATCAGAGAGTTTGTGAGGTCAGGTCCCTGTAGAAGCTGACTGTTCAGTGATGCTCCTTTATAAGTTGATCCACAATCAAATACGACTCTCAACTTGCCTTTTGTGGGATGATGCACTCCATGATGAGGAATGTACCACAGTTGTCCATCATCTCTCTGTAGCTCCTCTGCTGGAACAGAGTCAGCATGTCCTTGTTGCAGCATGTTGTTCACACATGCAGTGTATTCCTCCTTGTACTGAGCATCCTTTTCAAATCTCCTGAGGCTCTGGAGGCGCTGCTCTGCAACACAGATGTTATTAGGCAAGCTGGGACTTTCACTCCTGAAAGGTAAGTCAATATGATAATGACTTCCAACAAGTTTGGTTGAGTTATTAACAATGTTCATGAAATGCAGATCCTCTCTGGACATTTCAGTTTTTTCCTCTGATGATCTTTCATTAAACTCATGATTGTACTGTTTGACCAGCATTTCTTGAAGATGCTCAACAGAGATCCTGTTGGCTGTTACAGCAGTGCAAACATTTTTATTTTTGCTGTTGCTTCTAGTGCACAGGGGACCATTTATGACCCAACCAACTTTAGTTTTTACAGCATAAGGCCCACCATCCACACCGTTTATCACCTCCCAGGGCTCTAAAACATTTGAAGCATCAGTTCCTATCTGTAGCTCCACATCTGCATTGATGTTATGAAGCTTAACAGGTTTAAGATGAGGCCACTGATCAATGTCCTTCTGCTGGGGAATATTCAATGTAGAAACTGGCATGGTACTTTGAGTCAAAACATCTGGCAGCTCTATGAAGTCATTTGTTTACAGGCCAGAGACTACCAAACCAGACAAAACTTGTACATTAACGATCTTATTTTGACTCATTGTTCTTAGTAGAATATTTGTCCTTTTGCCCTTTAAGTTCAGACTTTTTGCCAGAGTTTCTGTGCAGAACATTCCTGAACTTCCTGGATCAAGAAATGTATAGGTTTTTACAACTTTTTTGATCTTTTGACTTTTAACTTTAACTGCAACAAAAGAAAAAACATCATCATCATCATCATCATCATCATGACCGGCCCCAATATGCCCACATGTCTGAGTGGTTGCAGTTGAGAAGTAGACATGAGACCTTGTTGTCTGTTGGATTTGTTCTGAAGAGGCTTCTGGCTCCTTTCGCTCTATGTGAACCTTCACATAGAGCGACCTCACCTTTCCACTGTATGTGTAGAACGGCAGCTCTATCCAGCTGCCAAGCAAACTTTATGCCTGCATGCCTTCATGGAAATGTTTTCCACCAGTTGAGTTTTGCTGAGGATGTTCAGCAAATCTTCTGAACCTGGCAAGCCTTAATGTCCTCAGTAAACTCATGTCACTAGCTTTGTAAGAAGCGTACAATGACGCATTCATATGAAGGATTACCTGCATTAGATTCAATGTGTACAATTGTGCATTGCTAACAGTGTGTACCACATGTAAAAGTTTTGGAAATGCGTGGACGTGGATTGAGTACAGACTTTATTATTTGCTCAAACTGATGTAGGTCACAATATGGTTTCTGTTGTATCACTGTTTCATCTGGACTTGCCTGGTTTATAACACAGGACTAACAGCACAGTCATTAAAAACAATGTATTTGCAAATGTAACTAATTTAGAAGCCATTTCATTGTTATTTTACCTTTTATTTATACATGTAATCTCATTCAAACACAGGCTGTCATTTCCAAGATAAAATGTTATATAGTCAAAGAGAGACATTAGGTATTACAGAAAAAATAAATATTCCTTGTGTTGGGAAGTCAGTTTGTAATCAAATACAAATGCTGCAATAATTTCAGCCTAAAATCAAACAGTTTGCCAATTTGTAACACACTTTAACAAAACTGACATTGACCCCCAAATAATACATTTGTAAATTTTACTTAAGAACAAAAATGATCAAACCTGTAGCACAGGATAAAAAAATGCCAATTTATTTCTTGCTCTGAAAAATTCAAATATTATTGGCTTAATCCTTCAAAATGTGGTGCAGTGAGAACCCTCACGCTATCTGCATGCTGCACTTGGAGACTTATTGCAGTTGTTTTGCGTATGAAGACTTCCACTATGTTTGCAGTGATTGATCATGTCAGCACCACCAGCAGTACGGGGAATTGCTTTGCAATTCCCCGTACCGCAAATTTGCATCACAACAAGAAGGGCTTTCTGAGGCGTTTGTTTTTTACAAGCATGGGTGGCATTTTTTGAAGAACTCTGGTTTTCTGAAAAACATGCGTCCCAAGTTAAACAAAGATCCTAAGCCAAAATTAGGCACTCACAAAAACAGCCTGATTTATGGAAAAATAGTTCTGTAGTAGAAACATGCCCACAGTGACACTTTAAAATCACCTTAGATTACTTTTAAAGCTTTAGCTTCACACCACTGACATATTAGATCTGTGTCCCATTTAGGTGTTGCTATCCATATATCTTCTGTTTTGTCTTTGCCTGCAGGAGCCTCTGCAAGTGAAAACAAGAAAGAGGAGCTGAATGAAATCTTGCACATTTTAGAGTGCGAGTGCTTCATTTCTTGTGATGGCCAAACCCGTGGCCACACTACTATGTCGGTAACTTTTTTTATGCACAATTTATTTTTTTTATACAAACACAACAACACTTTAGTTTCAACATAGAACATTTATTAGTTGATTTACCTTTTTTTCGAGGCTGAGTTGCAGACAGAACCTGGGAAGTCTTGGAAGCCACGCAGTCAAAGAAGGCATGAGAAATTTCAACTTGCACTGCGTGAGAGTTCAGTTGAAGTGGCTCCAGATGTGCCACTGGGTTTTTCAATACCCACAAATGCAATACAGACAAATGCAGCAGAATGATCCAACTTTGTCTGCCCTGTTGCTGAAGGCTATGGGGGGAGGCCTCTGTAGGGTCTGACACAAATAAAGAGCAATATATACTGCAAGATGGCATTTGATACCATCAACATGGCCAGTTTAAGCTTAAGCAGTTAGGTGTCCCTAAGAAGCCACGTGAGACAGTGCTGACTTTGGGACACTCTCTATTTCCTGGGCTGGCCACCTTAAGAAGTATAAGACCACTGCTTGCATTAAGCGGTACTTTTTCTGGCCTGGTTTAAGATCAGATCAGATGTTGCTCTATTTTGCAGAAGTTGCCCTGAGAGTCAGAAACCCTCAATTAGAGTCCCTACCAAAACACCACTTCAACCCCTCCCCATCATTGGCACACCTTTTCTACGGTTTTGTATTAGTTGTTCACAAGGCAAGGCATTTATTAACATTTGTTTGACAGACGTGTTTGGTTTGGAAATTTGTTGACAGTCCCTAATTGAACCTCCGAGCGCTTGAGGAGGTAGCTTAAGAACGGCTGGCCGAAATTAGCATTCATAAAACGGATCAACGTTGAGCTAAACGCCGTTTGCTCGGCGGATATTGTCTAACTCGAAACTAACTTCACTGCGGTCGGTAACACAATAAAAACACCGGGATAAAGTTTGATTTGATCTGTGGCCTTGTAAAAGGAAAGGACAAAACAAAATATCTACTTTTCTTGACAAAAACGCATGTTTAGGGGAAATGAAAAATAAAATGTATACATTTCTCGACGGAAACTCATGTGTGAGGGCAAGGAAAAACTAAATATGTATGTATGCTTTTATTTCTTATTATGTCAGTTTTGGTCCTACATAATATTAAAGATTGACAAGAAAAGTCAATCTGTTTATTTGAATGTAGAAATGATCAGGGTCTCGATTTGATGACATCTGCTTTCCTCTTGTCTACATCAGAGTTGCTGAAACACAGCCCTCCTTTGTCATGATGTCAGCTGGTGTAAACAAGGTCAGGAAATGCAATCCTAAATGAAGAACCAGCTCCTCCTCTGCGTGCACCCACAACTCCGCCCTCATGTGACTCCAGCCAATCCCGTCTCATTCCGCTCCTACACAGCAAGAAAAAAGCACATCCAGAGGGCGGAAAGTCGGCGCAAGCGGTATAAGAGCGGGATAAGCATGGATTGTTTTTCTATCAACGTGTCGACTCTTCACTCCCTGACCAGAGACAGTGGATCCATGTCCAAAATGTGGCGTGGATTCGACAGAGAGCAAGGGAGAGTGGGGAGAAAACCCCATTAACACCGGACGCGCGTGCGCACACACACACACACACACACACACACACACACACACACGCACGCACAGAAACAGCACTGCAGCTCAGCTCAGGTCGGGGCAGAAACCTTAACTGCTGCCTGCAGAGAAGAGCGCTGTCCCTCCGCTGTGGTGCTGAACGTTGCGACGCAGGACTGAGATCCAAAGGGAGACAAGAGGTTTTAGAAGAGCCGCAGAAAACTTTATGTGTATGGATTTAGAAGAAACAAGCTGAGCAGAAGTGATGGCCAGACCCCCCTCCAGTCCGACAGGCTTCAGTCCGGCGGTGTGAGCACAGCGGCGGAACCCAGCGGAGGACAGGGACGGAGGCTTTCCATCTGTGAGGTAAGCTCTGCGTCTCTTTACACGTGGATGATTGCGGGAAGAAATGTAATAGATTACGCTTCTAAAGGGGGGTCTACATGCAGCAGCGAGAATGGGCTGCATCAGCTCCAAAGCGCCTGTTGGTAAGAAGTGCTTTAACTTGCTCTCCTAGAATAAATAAATTTAAAAGAAAAAAGAAAAAAAAGAAAGCACGATGGAGGAAGCCTGTTTTATCTTTTCGTTTTTGCATTTTGCTGCATCCTAACTCGACGCAGCGGCTATATACCATGTGGTATGTAGCCGCATGCTTTTTCAGCAATGGCACACACACACACACACACACACACACACACACACACACATTCCAGCTGTGCTGAGTCACATACACACCAATAACAGTCAACACTAAACCAGAACTTGGAAAGTCTGATATGGTCAAGCGAGCCAGTCAACTCTAGAAGATATGAGGTCAAACCAAAAGACTTTAGCGCTTAGCCGGATATCAGTTCAGCTCATACAGGCTGGATTAGGTTGCAGCAGAGATTTGGGTGGAACACCGGCACCCCTGTGGTGAAACCATGATGGTGAATAAAAAGACAACTGTATAAGTTGAACAAATATTTCTATTGATCGTTGAAATTGATTGATCCCCAAAGGTCCGCGGAGTGGTTTCTCCGCGGACCTTTGTCACCCAGACCCAGACTATGACGCTTGTCTTCCACGCGTGAAATCAAACATCCGACTCGACCCACATCATCGATCCGTTCCTCCTTTCTCAGAATAAACAAACACAAACGTTGTTTTCTCTCTAATTTTACTGCGACCTTTAATTGCCTACAACCTTTTAATCCAAACTGATCACACCCATGATGGAGGTTGTGACACCCTTTCTCCGCGTCTCCTTGTCACGGAGTGCGTAAAGGACGTGTCCATCAGACTCAGAAACCCAGACCGAGCAGCAGCTCCGGCGCTCGCACGTCTCAATGCAGCCTGGCAGCGGACAGCAGCCACCTGTTTGCTGCTCTGCATGTGTGATAGGATCACTCTACCGCCTTATAGCTACTCCTAGTGGGGTTGATAGCAAAAAAAAGTGCAAAAGACAGGAGGGAGAAAAGATAGAAAAAGAGGAGGGGATGGCGTCACGGCCGAGCCGAGGTCTCCCTTCCTGCAGTTTCCACGACAACAGAAACTACACGTAAAGAAGAAGCGCTTCTCGGTGCCAGGAGCGCAACTGACATCAAAATCAAGACGACTAATTTTACTTCACAGCTGCAGACGTCAGTCAGAAGAACGAGGTTATTTACAAATGTGTCCATTTCTGTTGGAGGCCCGTTTGATCAAAATACAGCACCTTCGATTTATTCAGATCAATGATCCACAACCCCGGGAGCTTAAAGCACATCCTGGTTCTGGCGGAATATCGGAGTAATAGAAACCGACCTCCGTCCTCTC